CAATTTGGTGGCAAAATGGAGGCGGTATAATGTTTTTGCTTTAGCATGATTAAAAATCGCATTGTCTGAAGAACAAAACAAACTTTGCCACGGTAATCAACGTGTCCACTAATCTATGTACCATGTGGTTTTGAGGTTTCTACAGCTCAGGTTTGGATGATAGGTAGGTCCTCGGAAATTCCCTTTAGCGTCCGAACTATGGCAGATGGAGATGTGAAACCAGGTTACAGAGCAATATCTGTTCTATACCCACATGTATGTAAAGCAGTATCTCGTTATGTCGGTTTTTGGAATGACGGACTGTGACTTTTTGCCTCAGAAGATACACCGTGGTAGACCTGTCGGATAAGATTAATTTTAGTATAGGATTATGTCCGCAGGTGTCCTCTATTATAACCTTAGACGCACAACTCTCTAGCCCATTCCGTTCTTGAGTTATTCAGAAAATATTCAACTACATTCTATTTTGAAACGGACAGTAGTCATCTCTCATTCAATGTACATATCATGAAATGAAAATCCATACCGAACGTAAAACCATATTTTGGGATAGCTCCTGTTCGGACACCACGTGTTCAGTGTTTTCAATCTTTTTGACCCCTTCTCCTCCCCTAGGGGTCAATAGTGGTTACATGGGTCTTCACACCCTGTNCCGTTCTTGAGTTATTCAGAAAATATTCAACTACATTCTATTTTGAAACGGACAGTAGTCATCTCTCATTCAATGTACATATCATGAAATGAAAATCCATACCGAACGTAAAACCATATTTTGGGATGTATTGTTCTCTGTGTGGGATCAATAGCGTCAAGGGATGGGATGCATTGACGAGTACCATGGTATCTTAGACATTTTGGTTCACTATTTGTCGATGTTTGGTAGTAGTCTGAAGTTGTATGTGTTTCCTTGTGCATTTTTACGTCTCTTCTTTATGTTTTTGTCGCTTTGCTAGGTACCATTTAATGCCAGTGCGTGATCTGACTGATTCAAATTCTCCAATCTCAATGTATTTGCTGACTAGAAGAAAAGCGAGATTTCGATTAATTAGGAGATGAGATGTCAAAAACCTTTTTTTAAAAACACATTCCAGGCGCGATCATCACATATTACTTTGTAATTGTACTGCATTCCTGCCACTGCATCGGGAAAGTGGGTTTTTTTATTGATCGTTTTTTGAAGACTGATTTGAAGGTATACTAGAGGACAATGCTGCGTATTTGGTCTATTCGGTGGAGATGAAATACACACATATCGTATGTTACATTTCTGGTACTATATCTATCCATTCTTATAGAGATCAAATCTCTTAATACACTGGCACAAAATGGTATTAATAGCTGACCATGCCGTTTGTAGCAAACAAAAGACATGCACCAGTAAAAACACTCACCATTCCTTCTTTGTTTTTTGTTCAATTGTTTCCTTTATCGTGATTTCATGTAACTTAGTTTCGTGTCTATCTTCTCATTCTAACTCGTCTACGATTTTCTTTCCGTTAACTATACTTCACGCTATTTTGATATGTTCTATTTCTTCTGATCACCTAAAAAGCTACTTGTAATAGTGTAACCCAAAAGTCATTGTAGTGACCCTAACCATTTGCTGCAAAATCCGAATAATTCGAAACAATACATTTTTTCAGCATAGCATAACTCACCGTTACCCTACTCTCTCTAACACATTCTCATTTCAGATGCACTCTGTCATTTTTTCATATACATCTTTTATACCAATAAATACTGACCACTTGATAAGCAATCTCTATCTATAATTGTGAAAAACATTTTTTTGTGGTAATTGAACATACCCACACCCATCCTCAAGATTAGCCACTCACACTCTCAAGAAAAACTGTTTTTCGACACAAAATTAGAGTATCAAATAAAAAGTTCAATTTATTTCAGTAACAGTACAGAAGCGGAGAAGCAGATTAAATAAATTTTAAAAACGTGTATATATTCGTTTGTCTTAAAATCCAGTGTCAGTTATCTGTTCTTTCTTTCGTAGTTAACACTTTGTACAGTGCCATTCGTAATCTTTATTTTTGTTTCAATAATATTTTTAGATGTGTTTCTGAGCCACTTGTTTTCTTAATTAATTTTTTTCCTATCGTAGTCTGTTGGAATTCTTCTCTAAATGTTGTTGATGGTATAACATAAAGAAGGAAACTCAAAACTTGCGGTAGATATGATAAAAAATATGTTGTTAGCAGCAGATACCGTTGCCATGATTGTTTCAATTCGGTACAAGCATACGTAAATGATAAAATTGCTTGTGGTAATGAACTGAGAACGATAATGGTTGGCATAATATAAAGCTCTTCCTGTCTTTTAAACTGTCTTTTAAACAAATCTGTAAACGTTTCTTGATTCATTCCATTTCCACTAGTACGTGCACGACTTCGAGTAATCTGAATAATTAAGATTGTGATTGAGATAAACTGAATTAGAAATGGAGCGAAATAGTGTATCAAGACATTGACACGATTGTATACTGAAATGAGTCGTTGACCGTAGTTGGTTACACATAGAGTAGTGTTGACAGCCGTGTAGGATGGATTGATGATTGTTATATAATTAACAGCTTCATGCGCATGCATACCGGAAACAGTCAAAATAAAGCAGAAGCTTAATCCAAATGCAACTTGTGGTTTCTTCACTACCGTAGATGTTGGAAATAAAACCATCCAGAGACGCTCGATTGTAACCAAACTTGTCAGCCAATATGTGATGCGTGTAAACACGGATAGGAGATATGAAACAATCTTACATGAGTACAGATTCAAACTGTCATAATAGAACAATGTACCATTTCCACCTAATATATTATGAATAACTTTGAATAACAACATTAATAAAGAACCTTGATTGACAATAGATATGATCAATAAATAATTACCTACGCCAAGTTTACGTGGTTTTGGACGACGAAATGTAAGAAAACTGCAAAGATTGTTGAATAAACCAAATAGAAAGATAATTGCAACAACTGATACGTAAATACTAGACGATAGTTTTTGACTTGTTTGAATATCTTTAATGAGCAGTGAATCCAATGCGAAACTCATTAATTCATTCGAAGATTCACATAATTGGCCTTAGTGGCATCGAGGGCACAGGCATAAGAAATCACTTTTGTTCTGTAAACTACCTTTTAAAGGATGTGTCGCAGTTCGCCAATTCAACTTTCGCCAATGTTCGCTAGTAGACATTCGCCAATAGGCGAATGTCCAAAAAAGTTGGCGAATGTCAATGAGACATTCGCCACGAGACATTCGCCAATCGACCAATTGGCGAATGTCAAGGGGACATTCACCATAATTGGCGAATGTCGTAGGGGTACTGGCGAATGTCAATCTGGCGAATGTCGTGTGGACATTCGCCAGTCGCCAGTATGGCGAATGTCTATTGGCGAAAGTTGAATTGGCGAAACGCGACTTTACCCCTTTTAAACAGTGACCATTTGCCAAACATAAAGAACATGATGATATTTGAAAACAGCTTTTGAAGAGTTGAACGTGCTGTTATCTGCAAGAAATCAAAGACAAAATCTTAGATTAGTTGTTTGATTGTGGTAATAAAGCTTATCTGGTAGTTCAAAATAAGCGCCATTGTGATTCCTCAACGAACAACTCATCCTACATTATGCTTAATACTATTTTCATAAGCGGTCATAGAATACTTATAACTTTTGAACAAAAATGATCAGAAACAGCTGGTTTTTAATACTGGATAGGACATATTGAGAACATCAGGCTATGATAAAATTGGATGTTCGAATGAAGTTCGTCATGGTAATCCTTTTTGTACAAAATCGAGAAAGATGTAATTCTGTGACGTTACGGCAAGCGTTGGCTTCTAAATAGTGCATTCGGCAGTCTGAGCCAAAATCTATAATTCTAGACAAGTTCTTAAATTGTAAGTCGTATGGTCTAACAGTTCTAAGCATTCAGAGAGTGTGCCTCTATTTTAGTCTAGAAACGTCTGACAAGTCGAAAAGCCCTTTGTTACATCGACATTTTGCTGATGCTACGTATTTTGACAATATCTTTGTCTATCTAGCAGTCCACTGAATTTTGACTGACACAATTTCTAAAACTGGAAAGATTTACGTATATGTTATAACCTGTCCTCCGATTAGGCCATACAGCTGTGCCATCTACAGTATGTCAACATCTCTTCTCTTTCCTTCTATATCACTGGGCCGACACCTCTAGGTATTCGTGCTATCTTAGCGTTCACTGTGTTTCTTTGGATGTGTTCGTACTCTTTCTCTCGTCTATATATATGCTTATTACTTCTTTGTTTGGTGATCAGTTGGAGATCGTCAGATAAAACGGGGAGATGACGAAGAGCCTCACAGTATAAACTCTCTAAAATAAAAAAATGTAAAACTTAGGTACTTTTTATCCAAAAACGCTGAACTGTTTCAGTAAGACCCAGAATTACGTACAGGTTTTATCTTGGATTTTTGAAGAATCTGCGGAAAAAATTTATATGTTTAAAACTTCAGCGGATTTTCAGAAAAACCAACACCTTCACCCTCACCCATTTACACCTATTACCACGCACTTTAATTTTTCCGGAAAGTCTGTATATAATTCTGAGTTTAACTGAAACATTTTAAAGACTTTAGTAGAAAATAATTTAGTTGTGGATATTTTCATTTTAGAGATTTCATACATAAAACCTTCTTTTTTTAGAAATTGTCTCAGTTGAAATCTAGCTCACCACGAGAAAAAATGAGATACTGTCACGATATACACAGCAGGGCCGATCGTCGATGTAACAACGGTTTTTCGAGTTGCTAGACATGTCCAGACTGTAACAGACATCTCACTCGCAGAATATATAGAACTCTGGGACCATAAGGCTAACAATTTTAGGACTTGTTTAGATTTGTAGATTTCGATCCAGACTGTTTAATGTATGTTTGAAAGTCCAGATTTATCGTACAGTTGGGAAACTACAACCTTATTGATTTTCATAGTCACAAGTCATTAGGTATTATAGACTGTTAGAGTTGATAACTCATCTGAATATTGACTCAACATACTTGATTCAATCAAATGCCACAATTGACGAACATCTGGACACGAATTTTCTTCCATTAAACCACTTGTGATATTGATATCTGTCATATTATGTTGAATGTAAAGAACAAAGTAATGAGGTATATCTAACTGAGCATCTTTGCCATATGTTTTCATAATACATAGAAACGGTGCTCGTGGAAGGTCATGATATAGTATAAGATGCTGAGGTGTACTTGAATATACATATTGATGAATTAGAATTACATTTAACTTGAATAGATCGTAGTCATAAAACTGAATTGTTGATGCAACAGCACCCGTGTCAACGAGTTCATTATTCAATTGTACGCTAATCGGTGTTCTCATTTTTTGACATTGATTACCAGAAAAATGATTTTTGCAAATGCAAATATAATCTTCAATACTATTATGTTCGTAAGAAGTGTAGCAAACTCCTGAATTCAAACATGGATTAGGAGCACAGGAATTCACTATTATATGGCATGATCCACCAAATGTATTTGCTGGACAAATGCATGACGGTCGCTGATTATTGGTTAAAATACCCCGTCCGCCTGGTCGACAAATTGCGGATGGAGCACATTCATTTGACATTTGTCTTCAAAAAAGCTATAGCGTTCCCCATAATAACCACTTTTACAGAAGCAATAATAAGAATCGTTCTTATTATTAATTAAATAGCATACTCCATTGTTACTACACCGATTATGAGCACAACTAGTACTTAGTGGTATTGAGGAAACGTGTGGAAAATGTAAAACCTTGGATAAACGATAAACAGGTAAGAAATCAAAATACATTGGATAATGCCAAACACCACGGAGGTCAATTCTGTTATTTTGATACAACTCAAATACTTCAAAGCGTACACTATACATCTGCGTACCACTTCGATTTGTTCTTTTCATCTGTAAAAATTCTTCTGTTCGTGGATAAAGGAAATAAATTATTTGTTTGACGAAATGATCTTCAGTGTGAAGAGTTGGATGAACATGAAACTCATAATAATCTATTGCAAAATCTTGAAATAAAAAAGTAACAAAAACTTTGATCATTATCGATGGATCGTGAATGACATAATTTTTGAAATTCAAATGTGTTTCAACTGTAATACGATCGCTGTAATATTCACATTGTCTTCCATAATAACTAGGAGGGCAAAAACAAATTGTGTCTTCTAACTGATTCATAACAGCCAGACCACGTTTACAAATGAACGGCAAGTACTTATTTTCAAAATGAATATCTCCGACCATCCCTGCGTATGATTGATAAAATGATTTTCGAAGCAGCGATGAATTAATCTTGTAATTAAGTTTAGACATCTGTTTTGGTTCGAACATGTTGTCTAAATTTATTGAACGATCATGAATTTCTATTGCTGGATCGGAATTCGAAATCAATATTGGGTAAGTTGGCAATGCTATCATTGGAATTGGACTATCATGTTCAGAACGAGAATGATAATCCAGCTGAGAAAACGGTTGTTTAATGTTACATCAATACTCATCTTCTCCATATTCGCAATCATTTTTTTGGTCACATCGATGTCGCTTTACACAAGTTTGGTTTAAACATGTCGCATCTTTCCGATTGGTACATTCTCTATTTTTCGAATCATACGCTCTTCTTCTATGAAAACAAACTGTGTCATGCTCAACACTTCGACCCGGCACCCAATCATCACAAAGTTTGTGATACGGAAGACACGTACCATCCAGAGAACGAAAATGAAATCCTTGCATTCCCCATTCTTCACACTGCAGTCTGTTACGTTCATCAAGACCTCCGATACAGTCAATTTTACCATCACCAATGTGAGAAAGATTGATACAAGGTCGATTTCTTTTTACGTCAAACACATTTGACAGTTTATTGCCCTTTGCAGGGAAACAAGGATATTCTTGTGTAATGTCGCAGTTCGATGAAAACGGAGAACTAACTTAGGTATATGTGTCGTAACATTTCTTTTTTATATCTGATCAAACAAATAATTTTCTGTTGTGTTCTCCAAATTCGGTTTCATTAATAATGAACAGTCGTTGTTCGTCTGATGCATCAGCACAATCCCATTCACCTATATGCGGAAAAAAGAAAAACTAACACAATTATAGAGTTGTAGTATACTACTCCTGATCAGGATTTATTTTTATCGCCTATGTCTACATCGAGTTAATTAATTTATCATTTCTTTTCGCTAGAATAAAAACTTCCTTTCTTTGGTTCTTTTTTGAATGATGAAAATTTTTTTATCGCTCTTGCATAAAATTTTGTTAATCAAGGTATGTATTAAGAGAAATTTTGGCCATCCTAAAAAGCGTAACTCATACTATAGTATAGTATATTCCTCCTCATGCATCGTGATAGATCAAAATTCATTATAGATAGAAACACAAAAAAAATTCATTGTTGATCAATCTCTATTTTACACTGTCTTTAGTTTAATTATCAAGGGGGAAATAGTGGACTCCCAATTTGTTGGAGTACAGTGAAGTTTCACGGAGTTAAGTGGATCCGTTTAAAGCAAAAACTGGCAGACTTCATAAGATTACTCATTTGGGACTAGTCATGGTTCTAGAGAATTTTCTCGAGTCTCTTGGAGTCGGAGGTAAGATAAGTACAAGTTGTGCGTTTTATATCAACATACTTTTAATTGTAATCGTATTTGAAGTGACCTACAAGATCTTGAACTGTAGCTGTCAAAAAATAAAACATAAATATTCTGTTTTTGGATATCTATTCCATGTTTCAAAAATCAATGGACTTCAGATTTTATTTGGAATCCTGTTGAGTTCTGAAGCCGAAAATCCACTATTTCCTCCTTGTTTTTCATAGTAAATATGGCAATCCTGTGGAAATGAAGATAAACAATTTTTTCTTATTCATTACATCCCACAAAACGTAACCTGAATGCAATTTTGCTCGAAAAGACGATTTCTGAATATATTCACGGAAAAATGCGCATCCGGGATCATTGAGCATTAAACAATTAGAGATAGACTCCAAATCCTTTCCATTTTCATATGAATATTCATCCGCCTTATTTTCGCATTCCTCTCCCCATGTATTAATTGATAGTGGCAGCAGACAAGCTAATTCGGCAGATGAGCACTGCAAACGGAATCTTTGTTGGCCGGAGCATAAGGGATTAAACGACATCTCATTCTCAATCTCTTCATCTTCGGCACCTGAGCAATCATCTATTCCATCTCGAAGACGGTATGAAGAGATGCATCGATCATCACATACGCATGAAACGTTGTATTCAAGATTATTGAACGTTTTGGAAATGTTCAAATGATTAATATCATACTGGAGTAATTTCGATGTATTGGCGTGTTTTCATTATCATCAGCTATTTCAAATATACAGATATTGAATTCAAATATACTAAGCTGAGAGATAAAATCTGATTCAAATTTGAAGCATGCTATGTCGTCAGAATAGATCTGGTACCCAACACATCTGATGCTGCCGTTAAAACACAACAAAGGTGGGATTTTGTTAGCATCATACCAAACATTCTTTTCTTCAGGTATGTATTTCATTATTAAATATGGTGCTATGACACTGCCTTGGGCGGGATACACAATGTCTTCTGGACAATACGTACTAATTAAAGCTTCGCAATACAAGTTTCCCTTTGGACATGGGCAGTCTGAATCAAGTCCATTTGTCAAAGCACATTTTATCCAAAACGTACAAGGATTGCTGTTTGATGTCATATCCAAACCCAGTCTACTAAATGGTAGTTTATACGGCATACAATAGCCACCATTAATAGTCCAATGCGGAGATTTCTCTAATATACTAACGATTTCGCATAAATAGTTCAAATCTCGATAGTTAGAACAGTATAAAGGATCTCCATTATGTTCATTAGTGAAACGATTCCTACGGTCATAAAAACAATGGCCGTCTCCACAAGAATAAGAGTACAGACAAGAATGTTCATCGCATTCAACGCTTGGATTATATAGACAATCCTCACCACTGTTAAACCGTCCTCCCATTTCATCTGACCAATCCATACAATCGAAACCTCCATCTAACCAATATTCTTCTGGTATACACATGCCATTTGAACAACGGTACTCATCCTTTTCACATTCATTAAATTCCAACTTATCACAATAATCTTCATCAATCCCATCCATGCACTGCTGCTTACCTAGAATGAAGCAAGTGTAATGAAAAAAGCTGTTAGCGCAATCCCTATGGGATTAAAATGTGAAACACGATAACTCTGCTATTAAACGGAATTCTTATTCGCGATAGACTCCAGATCATACTACCATGACCTTGAAAAACTAGAAGTGAACGAAAGCAACCATGATGTCTGTCACTGTTGTGGGAGAGGAGGAGACTCGGGGATGGTTCATCCTTCTCGCTGTGATACTTCAAAGCTCCTTTCTTTCGATAAGCGTTGTGGTATAATGCAAAGAAGGAAATCTAATATTTTTCATTATTGTTAACCAAGATCATTTAAATAAAAGGTAGACAACGAGTAATCACTTCCTAATTGGACAAGGGTGGGTGCGCATAAGACCACAAAACGGCCGGCGGTCTTATTTTGCGAACGAAACTTCTCCTGACTTTCGAGGGAAGGCCCCCAAGTTTAAAATCGCTTTCGAACTGAAACTCAGTGGACAATAGGTAATCGAGGGTGCTGAACCCGAATATCACAATCGTTTGGGCTAACGTTGGGTTTTTGAGCCGATTTTCTGGAAAACCAGGTCTTCAGACTCAAAAATCTTTTGCGACAAAAGATTTTTTTCGTCTGTCCATATGAAAGAGCATAGCGCAAAACCTAGAACATGTGATAACATGCTGAGAAGAAACCCACTATGTCATGTTGGAAAAATCCAGCATATGACGCACGGATATTTCCAACACTTGCCGATGTCCTTGAATTCCACCTGAACAATTACCATACGTTCTTCAATTTCAATTGTGTAACTTAAAACCTTTGGTAACATCAAAAAGTTTACGCTCGAATAAGAGCAATCATCTAGAACGACCAGGAAAATTTTTTATTAAACAATTTTAAGAGAAAACGGCAAAAACTTTGAATTTCAAAAGAACTTTTGTCCTCGGTATTTCGTCTTTTTACCTAAAATCCAAGCTTCAAAACTCTCTAGTCACCTTGAAAAGTAGTTTTCTATAGGTTTTGCGCTATGCTCTTGCATATGGACAGATGAAAAAAAGTTTTTCAGCCTGAAGACCTAGTTTTCCAGAAAATCGACTCAAAAACCCAACGTCAACCTAAACGATTGTAATATTCGGATTCAGCACCCTCGATTTACCAATTGTCCACTGAGTTTCAGTTCGAAAACGATTTTAAAGTTTGGGAACTTCCTTCGTTTGAAAACTGTCTACTTCGATGCAGAATGAGACGGCGAATCTTTTGGTACTATTTTCGACCCATTGAGCATGTGATACAACTGAGAACCAATTCGATTTTCGAAGAGGTGTTTTATCGAAAAAACATCAAAAGTGCGGTTTTAAGAACCCTAAAATATTTTGACGATAACGCAGTGGTTTTTCACTCAATCGAGCTGCGGCTAGTCTCATTTGAAACCGCCTCTTCCGGTGCAAAAGAACCACATAGGGACGGTAAATACACGGCATAAAAAAATTCACTTCTCTCGAACACTTTAGTTTTGCATCGAATATCAGAGGGTGTAGCAGCACTATCTCGAGTCTACAGATTACCCGGCAAGTTGTCTAGGACTATCTTAGTTGTAGGTCATCTAGCTCAGTTTTTCAAAGGTTATTTGAAGATACCGACGGTGTCTTCAAATTCGACTAATCAACTTTTTCCTGCGCTAAATACTACGAAAAAACGCTATTTTTCCGTCTACTCTAGCCGTTCCCGACACATAAAGCCCGACAAAATACTACTGATGAACGACTCTGTCATCCTCTGCCTGATAGCAATATTCGCGTGCTACAATCCTGGATAACTAGCAACTCTTGAATTTCTTGGTGAATTCTTCTGCACTTTTATCGTGGAAACAGAAGGGTTTACGGGACATTGACGTGTGTGAATACCCAAGCATGGTCAGTCCTTAACTTTCTCCGTACTTTCTAGGTATGGTGTCGCTTGCCGGAAGACAACAAGATCTTCATTGGAAGGTTTTTTCAAGAAGTTGAAGAAAATAAATATGAAAAAGATGGAAACAGATTAGTGATGAGAATCACCCTCACCCGCCCCTGTCTTTTATCTGTAGGGATCCTTATGATGATTGCGATGTATGAAATTGAAACAGGCCGAAATACACTATAGAAAAATAAACAAAAGGTAAAGATAATGTCGTGCGCAAATGATTTTGCTTCATTCTCACGCGAATAAGTTAATTTTTTGTTAAAAGATTCTGCGAAATAGGAAAATACGTTTTGTTATCATGATGCACTAACTATTTTAGTGACTCATCAGTAGAATTTTTCCTATAAAATCAGTAAAAATGATTGATATTTAAACTAACCATCGCAAATATTCGACCAAACCAAACACATCAAACCAAAATCACATTGAAAATGTGTTTGATAACATGGACGATTGTTATGTAATTGACTCCCAATATCAAGATCAGTAATTGGTTGAAACTGTGCTTTGATGGCGTCATCAAATGTTTCCCAGTTTAAATAGAATCGATATTCACAGAATTTTCCAAACACATCGTTCTTTGAGCAATTGCAGATTAATAAATCGTCTGTCGAATTGTTCAACATCAAATATTTGGCATATAGATCCAGTAGTTCAATACTTGTACTCCATTCTAATACTCTCCTAGCAGATATATTCATCGATTTGAGCTGCGAAAATAAATATAAGTCACCTCGATTCGAACAACTGTTATAATTAGTGAAATTTCGAGACAAATTTTCACTCTGAACTAACTGACGGCAATATTTAACACTGCGAATGACGTTTTTCGGAAGTGTGTAATAGATACAATCGTAATATTGTAATAATGGAGAATTTTCTGTGTTATATAGCAGAACAAATGATGTTGATGGTATTGAATAAAGTGAAAGTAATAACACTAATAAAAAAGCATTCGGTATTTGATGTGTACCAAATGTTGTTCTCATTTTAATTGATATGGAGGAGAGAATTGCAAAAAGTCATCTAACAAAGAAATAAATTGCAGCTATTGACAGTAACACTAAACCAGAGTGATCTTTTTTAGTGAAGTACGTGAGAGAATTCTATTAGTCTGCATTTTTTACTAAATAAATGTGCTTTTTGAACATGCTCTTTTTCTATATCTAAAAATCCTAACAACCTACAGTTGACAAGAGAAGAATAAATCACTGTTTTTTCTACTGTGAAAAAAATAAAGGAGTTTACCAGAACCTAGAGGTTTGAGACAAGCACACACTAATCGCGATTTCGAGGGATGAGGTTGAGTTGAGCAGCCATGACGCGCTTCGACCTTTCTCAAGGGTCTCTTCAGAGGACTTAGATTAATACATACAGGGTGTCCCCAAAGTCTGGACGGAAAGTTAATTCAAATATCTCTTGTATAACTCAAGCGATGTGATTATTGCTTTTCATAATATGTTAGTACTAGCGTGAGCCCGTGCATACTACACGGCTGTTTTTTCTCGTTTAACGTATAACCTCAAAGCTTTGACCTTCCACCCAATAAGAGCATACGGACACTCGATATTATGTATATAGATAGCCCTACGGTCGCATGCTTTTATATCGCACACATTTATATAGTCCATCTAGCCTTTTAGCCTTCTATCTCTTATAGCTTTATTCTCTCATTGCCTTACTTACCTGTAGGCTCTAAACATCTGTTGGTAATCTCCAAGACAATGCAAGAAAAAGTACTCGAGTAGGCTCACGGTCACCCGACATGCGGGCATTCAGGACACTAGAAAACCCTGTACCGTCTCCTTACGCGGATATATTAGCCTAGGATGCGAAAAGACGTGCACAAACACATCCTGCAATGTGCTTCCTGTCAGAAGTACAAATATGCCAATCGACCTGCATCAGCACCAATGCAGATGCACATTATTACTAAACCTTGGCACACAATCGGAGTTGACCTGATGGGTCTTATCCGCGAACTCAACGAGGTAACGAGTTCGTGCTAGTTTTGGTCGATTACTCTACCCGCTGAGTAGAAGTATTTCCTATGTGTTCAACCACAGCCTTAAAGATCAACGAAACTATCGTGAGCGAAGTAACATGTAGATTTGATTGCCCGAAGCATATACTATCGGATAATAGGCTTCAGTTGGTCGCAGAAATCTTTAGATCAATTTGCAGAGATCTATATGTGAAAAACAAATACACTGCAACATACCATCCCCAAACCAATATGACTGAACGTGTTAACAAGACTCTCAAGAACATGATATCACAATATGCAGAAGGTAAGCCTAAGGCATAGGACAAAGAGCTTCAGAAACTGGCCTTAGCAATTCGAACGTCAATCAATGACTCAACGGGCGAAACTCCAGCCTTTCTTAATTCAGCCCGTGACCCTCGTCTCCCACTAGATCTACTTATTGGAGACACGGTCATTGGGCCACCCGCAACTCCACAGGATCAAAAAAGCGTCAGGAGGAGCTACCGAGATCAGCTCGCACAAGATCTGAAATACGCCTACGAAATAGCTAGGGAGCACACTCCGATACAAAAACTAGATAATAAGCATTACAGACAAAAAAAAGATTCCGAGGAGTTGCATGGTTCCCACTAGAACTGCAGCAATCTACTGTTGTTTTCAAAAAGCTGTCCTTGATTTGAATAACTCTGGAAAGGAACAGGTAAGGAGCTCTGATTTTCATTATTCAAAACAGAAGTGTCGGGGATATCAAACTATGCTGAAGGACTAAGGGAGGGCTTCGAGTCCACGTTTCGTCCCATGATACTTTTGAGAAATAAGTACATGATGTTAACAAAGTGGATGCGGACTACAAATATGTTTCCTTTCCAGAGTTATTCAGAAAATACTCAAAGACATTGCTTTTTGAAAACGACAGTAGTCAAAGAACGTTTTCCTGAAAATATGTGTATTGAATGCGAAACACAAATTTGGAGTTGTACAAGTTTCTAGATCTTGGAACCTAATGAGTAACGACAATAACAAATTTGGAGAATAGTATTATTGTTCAAAAAAGCCATCTTCTTTAGCTTTCTGATTTCTAAAAACGATATGACTATTTTATTTGTCGGAAAAACATATCTCGCTTGGTTTTTCAAAAGAGGGTTTGCCAATAGCTAAAAACCTGTCTTCTCGTAAAGCTAGAGCCAAAAGCTAGTATATTTACCATATACTTCCAAAAGACAATGGAAAATCTTCGTATTTGAAGTCAGTATCGAAAACCTGTACAGACTGATCTGCCGGAACTATTAGATTGTTAAGAAAACTAAAGTCGTTTTTTCAAGTAAGTAGTAGCTACTACTAAACTATTAAAGTGACATTTTTTATTGATTATCTTTACCTGTAAGTTGAACACTCGATTTTTGCCTTTACATATAGTGCATCTTGATGTAGAAGAAAAAAGTCAACTTTTCTTTAACAAAAACGTGCACAAAATGATAATGTACGTTACAAAATATGAGAAGTATACAAGGGAAAAAATTTTCTCATGAATTTTTCCGACGTGCGTCATCCACCAAAGTGACTGACGTGCTGAATATAATAAATGATTTACTTCAATGTCAATATTGGATTTTTCCCATTTTTATTGCTAAATAGCATCAAAAAAGATCTTGTTATAGCCATTTTGGTTATTAAAGTCAGGCATCCATCTGCAAACAGTCTTCTGTGCGGTATAAGAATGCTGTAAAAAAATGCTATTTCTATCTCTAAATACTAGAAATCCTCCCTTACGAAAAAACAAACCGACCAGCGTCGCTATGACGGGTCGAAAATGTGGAACTTATATTCTAGATATAAAAAATTCGTCTCAGGTCGACTTTGAGGGTGATTATTCTGGTCAGAGTATTTCTTGCTTATGGTGAATTTAAAACAGGATGTATCCGTGTAGTTAGCCATAATGGAAATGCTTTTTTTTCGATATACTTTTTTTTCTTGAAATGACATGTGCGGATGAGGATACTGGAAATAACTTCCAGTATTTTACTTGATAGGCTCTGTACAATAACGTTCGATGATAAGAACAAAGCTTTGCTCTATTTATTTCGGATCTTGGAAATAAATCTGTACTGCATTCATTGTTTCTTGGGAGCCATAATCATGAACGTTTTTTTATTTTGCTTCTTGTTTATTTGTTGCTATGTTCATATTTTTGTGCAACACGATCTAAACGGAGTGTTGAAGTATATAAGGTAGAACGGATCTGTCCGTATAAGGTCGATTTTCTGTCCGGCATAAAAGTTTGAAAAATTTCTAGCTGACAGTAATCAGGGCATGGTTCTAGTTGAAAATCAGCAGTCCGTTCCGCTGAAACTCGAGAAAAAAATTTTCGACCTTCTCAAACCGCTGAGGGTGGAATGAGGGTGAGTAAAGAGTTGTTTAGCTACCACTACGCGTTTCGACCCGACTAAAGGTCTCATCAGGTGGCTTTTAATTCTGTGTATTACTAAAGTACAAGACGATTTTTGGGTACATCACACTTTTTAGGTTCAAACCGAGTTTTCCACTAACTAGAGATCATCGAAAATGCTCAACAGTGTTTAACGTCAAGATTCGAGCGAAATTAGGAAACGTAAGGAGGGCTGCCCACGGAACTTTCTTTTGGAACCTTTACAATAGTTCCGGAACTATCGGAACTATTTTTTTTCGTTTAAACAGATGCTCCAATCCGATTACGAAACCGCCCTCATCTTCACTGTGACCCGCACCACCAAGATTCGCAATCGCCGTCACCTTCAACTTCATCATCATCCTCAGTCTCAGCCCTCACCTTCATTCTCAACCCCTCCCCATCACTCTCTACCTTTAATTCACAAGAGGACCTTTTCTAATCGAGCGAAACAATCGATTAAAGCAGAGAAAAAAACTGTTCCAATAGTTACGGAACTGTTGTAAAGGTTCCAAAAGAACGTTCCGTGGCCAGTGCTGAACGTAAGCACAAGTATCTCGCTAAATTCAATCTTCCAACTGCACTACACATTTTTTATTTTAAATTAGACAGTGGTAGTTAGATATAATTTCCTATGCTCTATTCAAATATGTAATTGGATTGACAAATAAAGGCTGGCATCTGGTCGAAAACTGCAAAATACGAGCACAAATGTTGTATTTGTCCAATTCCTCGTAAATTATTTCGCCTGATTGTCAATATTACACGATTTTTTTCTGGTTATATTTGTCGCAAACATACGCAGACAGTTTTCTTAGTTATTTCGTACAAAAACCTTTTGTGATGTGGTTGAATCATCATAGTAGCTCTTATTTATGAGAAAAAAGAATAAACTAATTTTCTATATGTATAATAGTGATATTTGTATGACAATTCTCGCAGATGATAACTTAATTTTTAGACAAAACTGACGTTATTAATTAGGGCATGTTATAAGCAGAAAAAACCTAGGAGAATTTATCTCTATAGGTCTCTCGACTCCAGTTATGAGTATCTTACAGCATTGCTGTTTGATGCTCTGGTACACAACAAAGAATCAAGCGTCCGAATTTTGACCTCAAATTTTGCTCATGAAGAGTTCTCATGATTTTTGTAATGCACTAAAAGTTTCAGCCGAAACGACACCTTTCTTTTTGAGTTATAGGGATTTCGAAAAACGGGGTTTCTGCATTATTTGTAAATCACGTGCATTTTTTGAACTCGTATTGCGTAGTTTTCGACCAGAAGCC